TAACGTTAGCTCTGGCCACCGCAGACGGGGTTAACGTTAGCCCTGGCCTCTGCAGACGGGCTAACGTTAGCTCTGGCCACCGCAGACGGGGTTAACGTTAGCCCTGGCCTCTGCAGACGGGCTAACGTTAGCTCTGGCCACCGCAGACGGGGTTAACGTTAGCCCTGGCCTCTGCAGACGGGGTTAACGTTAGCCCTGGCCGCCGCAGACGGGGTTAACGTTAGCCCTGGCCACCGCAGACGGGGTTAACGTTAGCCCTGGCCACCGCAGACGGGGTTAACGTTAGCCCTGGCCACTGCAGACGGGCTAACGTCCTGGGCGCTGCAGACGGGCCAACGTTAGCCCTGGCCGCTGCAGACAGGCTAACCTTAGCTATCATTTTGTATTTTATTTTGATTCCTTCCTAACTTCCAGTTAGTTTTTTTTATTTCAGAAGGAATGAAAAAAATGCCTAAGAATGAAATACTGAAATTAAAAGATTAAGTAAAATAGTTTTTCTTATAATCATTTATTGAACGTTCCACTTTTGGACAATCATCCATATTTTAGTCTGAGAAGGAAACTCATGGTACGACAAAATGAACAAAGGGGAACACAAGTCCAAAAAGATTTGGATCCACTGCTGTAGAAGATGGAGATTCATCCTTTAGTGTTGATTGATGCCGACGACTTTAAGCTTCATTTCTAAACGCTTCACTTTTAAATGACTACTTTTCTATTTTAGTTCCTGATGTCGACTCTGTGATCATCCTGAATGTTGTTTAACAGTTTGCTGATGATGATGATGATGCAGTGTGTCTCTGTGTCCTTCTGTAGATCCTGAACGTGTGCGCCGTGGTTCTGGCCAACCTGTGCGTCTCCTACATCATGATGAGCCAAAACGAAGAGGTGACAAACCGTCAGAACTGATTGTTCTTCTTTCTAAATTCTCACCTACATTAAATCTAATGATGGAGATCTGAGGATTCAGATTCAGATTCCTGACCTCATGTCCCAGAAAATCATGTTACGATCTTTAGGCGTTTGTCACCCGATCTGTTCCCGGAAGCGCAAACCAAATAAGTTCCGGGTAGGCAAATACTTTGTTTTTCTTACTTTTTTATTCTTTTGTCTTCTTTTTTGGGGGGGGTTCCTTTTAGATATTTTTGTTAATAGTTAAACGTTTTTTCTTTGAGTATTGCATATTCTAAAAACAAAAAAAGCAATACACTTAGATATCCTTTGGAACATTGCTGTGACTGCGCTGAACATGTCCGATGATGACATCACGCAATAGAACGCAGAGAATGTAAAACGCCTCCATTTCTTCCAGAAAACTCTTCAATATTTTCAATAGGATGTAGTTTAGCATTCTTTAATGTTTTACACTGAACAAATGATTTAGAAATAAGTAAAAACCTCTTAAATTAAGTGTATTAACCCTTGATTTGAGTAGATAAATGAGATAGTTTGCCAATGGAATGAGTAATTTTACTCTTAAAATAAGATAATATATGCTGGAAATAAGACAATATAATTGTGTTTTCTTATTTTAATTGTAAATTTGTCTTGTTCCTTTGGCAAAATGTCTCTTTTACCTCTTTAATCCAACAACAAATGCAGTTATTTTAAGAAAAAAATGACTTATCTAGGCTTAGATTTTTTTCCAGTGTAATTATATAAATAGGTATTTTTTATATTGTTTTTACGTCATTTTTCGGTGACCCGGATCTTTCGTGCTCCCCGGATGGATCGGCTAGTGACACGCGCTCCTTTATCATTTTATATGAGCGACAATGGGCTCCGTTTTGCAGCCGATTGCCTTTTCTGCTGGGGCTGGAGCACTCGCTCCTGGGTGATGATCCCAGAGTTCACCAGGGTGTCATAGAGGATGACGGGAGGAGGGGCGCCACCTGCCTTCTGCTGCCCAGCTTTGCACTTCCTGCAGAATGTTTACTTGTTCTTGATTGGACAGAAGGGACTCTTCTTGTTGTCCTCTACAAATCTACAAACACCTCACAGTGTTTGTAGATTGTTCACCATTCATTCCTTAGCGGGGGGGCCGCAAGGAATGAAAGACGTTGATATTACACACCCCAGAAAAAAAATTAGGCAAGCTTTAAAACTGGACAGAAGAGCATCATTTACATTCTGATGCAATTTTTGCTGTAAAATTTCAATGAATGAAAT